TGTGTGTGTGTGTGAGCATGCAGATAGACAGCCCAGAAGGAGAACACCGCAGTGGAGTGGGAGAAGGAGGGATAAGGGGGAGGTGGGAACTGAATTGATACACCCACCTTCAAACACAAGAACAAAGACACATCCCAGCCAAAGAAAAAGAAGAAGCAGGAATGAGAGATGAGCAGGTACAGCAATTGCTTTGCTTGCTTAACCATTCTGCTTGTCTGTGCCTCCTCCTCCTCCTCCTCCCAGCCCACCTACAGATCGATAGAAACTTTTCTCAGGGGGACAAGACAAGCACTCCTCCTGCAGCTTTGCCTGTCCTGCATTCAGGACCACATCAGTGTCAGGCGTCCTTGCTTACGCACACCCTGACAACGCAGCTCAGCAATATGCAACCCGCATCATCAAAATGCTCCTCAGCACTGCTCCTCACTTCCTCTCCTCGCTCTCGCCACACTAGACACCAAATGGCGCACAGTTGCCATTACAACCATTCTTGGAAAGCTACGCAGCAACACTGGCTCTCCTCCAAAGCTCTTCTAGTTTATACTGCAACCTCGTACTTCTGAATATACAGTAATGACCTTCCACTATATACGGCTGTGACTCTGCTTTCCAGGAGTTTCACCCTCCTGAAAATTTCCCCAATTGTGTAATCAACCCTTCCTTGTTAGCTCTGGCCTCTATCCCCACACTGGACGACAATGGAGGCTGTTAAAAATTATACTACGTCATAATGTGCAGTAAAATGTGACACTAGAGGATTGAGATTGTTACAACGTGTCCATGAACAAACACAACAACGTGTGACAACTATTAGTCAGCTATTTCATCTAACATTCAGACAAAACAGTAAATAAATTTTATAAATGTGTTATGTATAAGACAGTGTAACCACTTTACCCCAGAATGCAGCAGTGTATGAACGGACAGATGACTTAAAAGATATTGTATTCAGAATCGGCTATCACATGTACAGCCGTGCTAACAGCTCTGTGAGGCAGTGCCTGTGCAGGCTGTATATTAAAGTCAGATTAGTAAGTATAATGTTTACTATGTTCAACATCTTAGTTTAGTGTGTTAGCATGCATCTGCCAATTACACAAAAACAAAGTACAGCTGAGGCTGATGGGAATGTCATTAGTTTTGCAGGTATTTGTTTATAAATCAAAGTATTGGACAATTCTGACCTGCTGATGGTGCTGGATAAAGAGTCATTAGGATCTATTGTCTGAACCATGAATGTCTGTACAAACCCATCTGATGGTTCTTGAGTTACTTCAGTCTGGACCAGAGTGAAGTGGCAGACAGACAGATTGACATTGTCATCCATAAAGCCACACTAATAGCATGGCTAAAAAACAGTCCAAGAGTCTTCATTGACTCCGTTGTGTGAGTACACCGTGGGACTAATCTGCACATTCATTAATCAATAATTCACCAACAGCAGCAGACCAATATAAATCCAACAGTACATTACCATTTTCATAAAAACATGGACCTTCAGCAGTGTTTTTAAGAGATACTGCTCTTCTGAAATAAATATCTTTCAGTTAGGAATGAAACATCGTCTGCCAAGCTGCAATATTGCACAACACGACCAACCACAGCCAGAAGATACACAAGCACAACAAACAGCCGAGGAGCAAATAATTAAGAGGTAGACGAAACAAAAAGGATACGAGTGAGACAAAAAGGGGGAGGGAGAAGTTTACTTTAAGAACTGTTATAGTTAAACATTGCTCAAGAGACAGGGGCTTGATGCTACATGCTGCAGGCTGCATTAATGTGCAGCTGCAGCCCACACAACACAACTATCCAGTCCCTCCAAACACTGACGAACGGGTTGAAGCTCTTAAGTAAAAACAAAACATCAAGAAGCATGAAAATAAGCTTTAGCTATGCTGCTATGATTGTAGATAAACAAATTCATCCTTACAAAATACACAGTATGGGTCCGCTAATGATTATTTTCACTATCAACGTATCTGCAGTCATTGTTTGAAATGCCTGTAACAATTTCTCAGAGCCATTGGTGGCGTCTTTAAATGGCTTGCTTTGTCCACCAAAAAGATATTATATCTAAAATCCTCACATCTGAGAAGCTGAAACCTGAAAAACTTTTAAAGATTAATGTGTATAAATTGACTAATTTCAGCTCCAATGCCAACACATTCAATAAAGAGTGTACATTTTGTACAGAAATAATCTTGGCCTACTGAACTCGTCCGACCTTAACAATGCAGCACAAACAGTCGTTAGCAGGGATGCGCCATGGTGAATAAATATAGAGTGCCCTAGTTATAACAGTCATTATGCTGCAGCCTGTCCTCCAGGTGTCTGCAGTGAGAAGAGGGGCTCCAGCAGTCAGTAGGTGGGGGTCAACGTGTAGGTGGAACAGGATGGGGGTGGCTGCTGTCGACTCCGGCGCACTGCGTCCCTCGTCACACACAGTGCACCAAAGGGCTACCGGCAGTGTAACCTTCACCGGAGCTCTGACGTCTGCATTATGGCTGTGTGTAGGCTGGTGCCACCTCGACACACAGCCCCGCACCCTTTATCTGCTCACGCTCATAGATACTCTTAAACCAATACCCCTAAAGTGTGAGTCCTTCAGTGAAAGGCAAGGTGACACATTAACACGTGAGGAAAAACATAAACCCCTTATTATTATTCCCCTCTCAGATTATTCCCTCTGCTCTCTTCTTTTCATAATCACGGTATGAGTAAAGGGGATGTTTTAGGTGTCTGTCACTTTACTTTCTTGGTAATTTAGGTGTTTTACAAATGTTAGCTTGTTCTGCAGTTGCACTTTTTCTTTCCTTTAGACTAAGGGCATTGGGTAAACGTGATAAATGGGAATGTAAGGTGTTATTGGCTAATACAGCTGGTTGACAGAAAGAACAACATAAATGGGTAAATTATTTAGAAGAAACTGTAAGGCAGCTAATTGCTGAAGTTCACCAATAGGCAGTGATATCGTCTGAATCTTTTAAAGGACAAGTGTGTCAGATTTAGTCACATCTAGTGGTCAAGATGCAGATTGTAACTACAGGTAACTGAACAACGATTTATTTGACAACCTGTAAATGAGAACGGGCTGTGAGGAGAAACTACGGCGGTTACGAAACTCACGAAAAACACAAAAGGCTGTAACTACAGCCAGTGTTTGGTTTGTCCCTTCTGGGCTATTGTAGAAACATGGTGGTTCAACCTGGAGTCTGTAGATAAAAACTGGTAACAAAAACACAACGGTTCCTATATTCAGGTGATTAAACACTAATGAAAACATATCTATGAATATTATATTCAGTTTCTGCCAATAGATCCTAAATGTTACATAATGTCACTCTGATTTCTTGGTTGATGGCAATTTTGGTGGTTTAGAAATGTAGAAATTGCACGACTGCGTTTTGAATTCCTCTGGATAAGGAGCATTGGGTAAATGTGTAAAATGGGTTACTGGCTAATTCAACAGAGAGAACAAAATTATAAATTAAATTATAACACCTGAAAAATAAACATTTTTGAAGAAAATGTGTTGTTGTTTGAAATAGTTGAGACATTAAAAGGCGTTGAACTGGTAGTTAAAATGTAATTACTTGAAATGGCAGGTAAAACTGAATGAAGTTTATATGATTCGCTATTGATTAAGAGGTAAATGTGCTCAATGGGAATGTTAAGTGTTTTGACTAATACTGCAGGTTGACAGAGAAGAAATTAATAATAAAAGTCTGAATTTAAAAAATAAAAATGAATGTGTGCTTACTGCAGAAATGTTGCGGTTTAAATATTTGAAATAGTTGAGCTACTGAAAGAAGTTGAAGTCACATTTGAATACAATTACTACCAGGAAATTGAAGATTTGGTTGAAGTTCAATCAGTGAAATGAACTGGGAATATCAGAGTAAATTGCTCTAGATGTCTGCTAAACGAGTAAAATGGGAAAATACTGTGTTTTAGGCAAATACAGCAGGTTGACGGACAGAACAATGAGAACATGGAGTTTCCTGTGGGAGTTTTTTTAATCTGGAGTTTCCCCATCGCTAAAACCTCGGTGAATTCCTTTTTAAGAGTCATGGATAGTTGTGTAACAAATACTGTGGCTGTGAAAACAACAAATCTCATCTGCAACCAAATGATCTGTGTGTTACAGTTCAGTAAACAGACAACTGTTTTGAGAGGACAACGACGAGTGCAGAACAGGATAACATCAATGACCAGGTGATTGATTAGAAAGGTGGAAGATCCATAAATCACAATGAGAGTGAAAGCCTGCAGCCTGGAGGGACGGAGCAAAGTAATTAGGTTAAGTATCAGTAATCCTTTCAGCTCATTAAAGCAGCACAGCTCCCATTCAAGCAAACACACAAGAAGCCTATCC